GGTTTTAACAAGAAGTCGAAAATATCACTTTTTACCAAAAATGACAAAAATATTCACCAAAATTAGAGAATTGAAGATATGATCATGAAATGAACAAATCTGAGAGAGGTCTACCCAAGGTACATATACACCAAGTATCAAAGCATTCAGGCTTGTAGTTTTCAAGAAAAAGTCGAAAATGTAAAACATTGACACGGACGATGGACGACGACGGACAATCACTCATATGATAAGCTCCGCTCGACAAAGTCGACAGCGGAGCTAAAAAACTGAAAACCCCAAGGACACCCAGTTCGCGTCAATAGGAGCACCCACCCTTACCAAATTTCTGGATCCGCCAGTGGCTAGTTCTCAGTAATAAAATTTGCCTTTGACGTGATTGTAATTGTGGTCATTGTTATTCCATGAATAATACTTATATACTGGGTTATCTGAACGGGAATTAGTTTTTTGTTGCTATATGCCATGTGTTGGTGCATGTTTTAGAGACACAATCAAAACTGAGTATTTTAAGGTCATGGTTTCTTGGTAGAATGACGCACATATTTATGGGGGAGGCAGTTACTAGCCTTTGTAATCATCGGCCCCTGGGTTTTGTACAGTTTACAACAGAATCCTGAATTCAAATTTACAAAAAATAAAATACATGTAAATTGCAGTGAATAATAAAAACAATGAAAATTATACATTAAATTTGGTAATTTCAAATATTTCCGGATTTGTTGCCATAGTAACTGATTTTATTGTTTTTCATGGTTATCACAATAATCAGTGGGAAATGTTATGCATATAATATCAAAGAACACTTGCCAGGATGTAATTATTTATATGGAACTCTAAAAGTGTAATTGACATAAACCAATAATCTCATTATTCCAGTTGACTAATATCTTACTAAGTTTTGGGGTCTGCCTATCAGCTACAAAGGGCATCCCATTGTACTCACATCACAGATTAAACTAATTACTCGTAAATTCCACAAAATAGGCTTATTAAAAAATTCAGAATCTGTCTTATGCATGGATGCCATGCATATAATGATGATTAAATTTGTGCAATTAGACCGTATGCCCAGAAGGTATTGTTTGTTAGATTTTCACTTACCTCAATTATTTTGTTCATGTGCTGGCATAAAACTACTGAACTGTGATTCATGATATACGATTTGTGATTACATTTTAAATTGCACTGCAATCGTATATCGAAATGCAATTTAATTAAATCTACTCACTTTAGTTAATTTTTCAATTAATTAACCAGATTTATATGGATTTTTGTACTTTAGAGTTAAAAACCAAGGGAAGGTTTTGTATAGGTTATCATACCTGACTACTTTATATACCGGTAATCTTAAACTACGCAAACTTGGATTAAATTATAAATCGTGGTGGCTACACTGTCTTTTTTGTGCATATTCTCATAAGTATTTCTGTGTACGTTACACAGCAAGCCACATCATCTTATTTTTTTTGGTTCTAGAGTACCTGTCGCGTATTATACACTGCTAGCTGTGTATAGAACTAATTTCTTGAGTACTCTGCATATACGCAGAGACAAGGCAGCCACATTTAGCTGGGTTTTCTTACATAGTGTTGCCAAGTACAAAATGGCTAGGGTCCCTTCCATAAGGGATACTTTAAATCAGCCTACAACCAATGCTCCTTCTGAGGATGGCAAGACCTCTGCTACAATGCATATACCTGATTTATTCTGAAAGACTAAAGAGCAGTGGTTAATTGCTAGAAAATATCAACTCTATTGATATGAATCACTACTATCACCTTTTGGTCTCTAAACTTAAATTACATACTTCAGCACATTATAGTAAACAAGCTATGCATGGCACAGTCCCCGTTAGTTATCAAATTTAAGATGTATAGTTTTGATGACATCTTGTATCTGATCGTCAAATGAGAACTTGTCCATATTGAGAGATATTTTGAATATATCTATAACATAATGTACAATGAAGAAAGAAAATTTGAACATAATCAGTCAAAGCATGTCAGAGATATGGTTCTAGAAGCACGTTCATTGAAACAAAAAGGCCACCAGTCATATAAATATAATAATGTGCATCAGGAACCCATTAATGTATGTACCAAGTTTGAACACAATACATCCATAAATGCCAGAAATGCTTGATATTTGATGATTTTCAGCACAAAAATAGCTATTTGGAATCAGAACGTGAAACAAATTGATGTGCATATGTATAATATTATGTTTGATGTATGTGTGAAGTTTGAATGTAATTGGTCCAAGCATGTCTAAGATATAGGTTCAATCCATAAGTCCCTGTTTTCGTACTAATAATTCTTTAGTTTTACCAGAAGGCAATGACATTGCATTATTTTTATATATAACAACAGACTTAACATGTTCCTGGTTTGTTAGGGCAATCAGAATACTAATCGATTTTAAATGTTTGTGAAAACAAAGAAGCAGTCAACTCAATATTTTCAAATACAGTTTACTAGTTGTCAGTAGAATACAAAATAACATGTAAATACCCTCCACCTGAAAATACACAATACATTCTAGAATATAAGGAGCAACCATGGGTAAAGCTATCAACAAGCCACTGCAATGTACATTGTACATTCAATTATCGCTTCCTCAACTACAAATTTCGTCTTTGTATAAAATGTTCATATCAACCACTTACTTAGCAAAACACTTTGAAACTTTTCACCACCCAACTTTCTTGTCCAATTTTTCTGCATTTTTTTTGTTATATTCTAAATTCTATAAAATGAATCCTAATTTTGGAGCCAACAGACAAAATTTGATTCAATTTTCAGTTTTTACTCGAAAAATTGGCAATTTTTTACCAATCTGTTAAAGAAAACTGTTTTGTGAATTTGGGATTAATTGAGGGAATTGGTGGTGAAAACGTTTCCAATCTTCACACCAAGTATAAGAGTAGATATTTTCCAAATCAAACTAATGTTATGCATCCCAACAGATCAAGTTAGATTGCAACATTAAAGAAACTCTGTACATGTGTTCTTCACATGTATTTACCACAAGTTTACTTTTATAAACAATAATTAACAAACAAACATATTAAGTTAGGAAAAGATTCATGTGGACAGGTATTTTGCGTAGGTAAGCATCTTTAATTAGTACACTATTATTATATTTTTCTCTTCACTAATTCAGTATAAATGTTGAGACTTCAAGGATTGTGTAGCATTTTCATGTAACAAGATGAGTTAATGAATTTGAGTTGATGATTTATCTTTTGTAACTTTATTACAAATAGGATCCCTCCATTTACCTAAGGGGGTACCATACTCATTTGACTTGACACAGGGGGACTCTGCTCCAGTATTCGGGAAAATATCAATATAATATCCAAAGACCAGGTTTTATGACTAGACAGTCAAATTTGGGGAATTTTGGAAGGGATGAGGGCTAAGTGAAATATCCCAAAAATAGGGAGGGTCGTGTGGTTAACATGGGTTCTATAAAGACAGAATAGTATGGTTTCTCTCTTATAGTAGGAGCCGTGGAAGCTGAAAATGCAATCCCTGGACTAGTTTTGCGTAGTTTTTATGTCAGTAATCATACAGTACAAATGATTAAATTAGAATCAATGCTGCATTCCATGGATACCATAAATGCCTACATACAATGCTAGTAATATCTCATGTTATATGAGTAATAAAATACTCAGTGTTCATTAACCAGTTTAAATGCTACACACTGGATATTCTCCATAATCACAGAATCTCAGATGATTAACATGTTTTGATGTTATTTTTTCATTCTACAAATCAATAGCTGACTGTTACTAAGTGTTGTAAATATAGTGAAGTGGAATGAAGCGATTCTGGGCTAGTATTAGACGATTATATATACAAGTAAAACTGGTTATAAATAAAGCCAACTTCCATAAGGCTGTGAACTCTAGGCTTACAGTACATATCTAGTCTACCTATTTCAGAAAGAAATCTTTTGGCAATTTTTCATCATATGGTCTTTTTCTTATTCCTCTGATAAAGTGAAGATTTTTTACTAAAATGACAGACGAAATTATTCACTCAATAATATTAAATGGATCTACTGCTACTGCAAACGGCACTAAAAAAAGGATGACTTTCAAAAAATTCCACCGTACTGAGAAAACTCTGATCCAGTATATATATTTAAATGGGGTTATGTCCGAAATTAGAAACAGAGAATGCTAGGTTAAATATTGAATTACTGTATTTGTAAAGAATGTAAAGACAAATCCATTTTCTACATTCTTAATTGGCTATCTATTGTTACAATCCTTCAGATATCCTATGCATATGTCTCAGACAAGCCACTACTGATCACACTTAATTCATTTTGTTTTACAGATCAGATTCAAAATGGCTGATTGATATGGCAATTTGATTTATTTAGATTTTCCAGCATCATGTCTCTGACATGAATCCAAATTTTTTACATAATTCACCATTTCAGCACCATTCACATACACATGGGATGAAAACAGGGTATTTCAGTTAAAATTAACAATTATCTAGGTTTAATAGGTTATTAGTATGCCTCAATATGAAGTCAGTAGGTAATGGTGACCTTTAACCTTAGCCTCCCTCTGCAGTTAGTTCATTGATTCCTCCAATTAAATTTACATGGCTTAAAGGTGTCATAGTCATCGTGCATTCCAGTATTGTTTAAACAAATAATCTATTTTATTTTACGCATGTCGCATGAGACCCACATTGAACAAAATGCAATGTGATGACTGTACATTTTAATTGTTTTTTTAATTCACTGTTAATGCAAACATGAAAAAATTACAATAAGCTCCCGCGTTGTTGAATCAGTTAGTCTTTTTTCTCATTATTTTTATCGTCAGTCATCTTTGATACAAATTGATATTTCCAGTCTTCCTCACACACAAACTGTGCCCACTGAGGAACTGCTGTGGGCGGCAATGAAATACCGGACATGGCGTCTTTGATTTGGTCATCGCTGGCCATTGATGTTTTACGTCTTGCAACTGATTCCGCACTGGAAGAAAACTGTGTGAACGCATCGTCGTGGAACGCGGCAGGTTTTTGCGTAGGTAAGCATCTTGCTAAATGTACAGGTAAAGTGGGTTCATTACTGGTTGCCAATGACGAAGCTGATGATGTTGTTGTTATTACTGCAGCATCACTGTGATTTTGAGAAATTATTTCTTCCTTCAAAAAAAAAAAAAGATCACAAAATCATGCATTAACAATAGATAATCATCACAGATGACCCAGATTCTTCCCCCTTATTGAGTGTTTCAACACCCAGAAACTTGTATTCGTTAACATAATTCATTTGCCTAACTATTTCTGATTAGCGCCCTCACAGGTCACTTGTATTTTTACGTGACCTTTGACCTGTGGTCTAATAATAAATCGAATTCAAAGAAAATAAAGATCCAAGATTATTGTTAACCGCAATTCACTCAACCTCTTTATCATGTTTTTTTGTTCTGAAACATTATAGAATGCTATATCGATAAATTTTGTTCTTATTTCAAAAATCTGGGTTTTCAAAAGTATCAAAAATGCATTTTCCTTCAACATGGTGTTTTATGGAATTATTTTAAACATAGAGATTTTTGAAAAATATTAGGACGAGTTTCTCAAGAAACATAACAGTAAAACACAAAAGAATGCTATGGAACAATAGCTTCATGATTGCATGTAAAACCAATGAACAATGATGCCATTTATGACCAACTTTCTCAAAAATTATGAGTAGGTCTACCTTAACCTGAGATATCAATGACTACACTCACACCTTTTTATATTAAAATCCATTTAAAATAAGTTTAGCACCTCTTAAAAAAAGATGAACTATATTACCTCCTGTGGATTATCTAGGGCTTGGGGCAGTAAATGGTATCCAGTTTCCAACCAGTCCAATTCTGGATCTGGATCCAAATCTTCATCTTCAGACCAGCTGTCATCATCATCATCACTGTGATCATCATCTCCTCCACCTAGCAATCCCATCTGCATCTCAATTTCCCCATCAATCTCATCATCATTATCAGTACGTGGATCCCTTGGTATCGGCCCCATGTTATTACCAATCTTCTTTCCTTTTGACATTAATTAGATCTAAAACAATAATAATAAAACACAGTTGGTTAAATATTAAGTATTTTCTGAAATTTTTAGCGTGATATACATTGTGATAGGACAACATTGTCTCTAGACAATTATATGAAATGTACTAGCATAAAACTTCCTCCAAAATATTGACAACTGCTTCTGTCAAAACAAATCTGAAAGAGAAATCAAAAAAGAAAAAACCAAAAAAGTGTATAGAGATTTTCATCAGTTGAAAATCTATCTGACTATGACAACTCTTTATCATAAGTCATGTATCGTAATTTTCTCTCACTCATGGCAACTAAATGTAAATATAGCTCGAGCAAAAACTGTTTTTTCCCCATCTGTAATACAAAAGTTGAAACTCTATCTGATTATTTCAAATCTTTGTCATATATTACATACCACACTAGTGGACAGTAAATGTAAATCAAGCTTAGAGCATTTTTTTTTTTACAATTCATGGTAAATTAGAGTTGTTTACTGTTTCATTGTGTTACTATAGTAACATAAAATGTGAATACCGTAAAGTGTCAGGAAAAATGGTAGACAGGAAATCAAGTCATAATTAAGTACTTACATAAAATTTATTTCCCAGCCGAAATAAAATATCTGTGGTCCTGATAACCCTACCTAAAATTGATTGTCTTCCCTTAACATTTTTGGCCAAACATGGCAAATTTGTGCAAAACTGAACAAGATTTCAACTGGAAAAAACTGGATTTATTATTCCTAATTTTGGAAAAAATGGAGACTTTCGTCTAAACAACATTGGACATGGATTTTATTAAGAAGTAGGCAAGTTAGCGCTGAGTGAATAATGTCTGAGCTACATGTGTCTGACTTGTTTTTGAAACACAAGTAATCAATACAATTTATTTTTTATTTACTTTTGCCTCATCAATGATGGAGATAATTAAATACTCTA